CCCCCCGCCACCCCTGGAAAGTACTTTATGACCCAAATACTTTTTCAGCTTTACAAGAAATTTTAAGAAATTCATCGCATTGGAAATACTTTGAGACACGCTGATTATTTTACCTTCTTCGTGTCCAAGCTGCTTATTTTTAGCTCTCTTCCTGGCCTCGATTTTATCCGTGTCTGCATTTACTGCTTCATAAACGGTTTCTGCTACTTCCAGCTGCCAGCGCTCGGAGATCACCAAGGGGAAGTTCTTGTAGAGATCTTGGTCGCAATCAAGAAGCTTATTATTTTAAGAAATCAAGACAGGTACGATTTAACATCCTTAGCAAGGCAACAGATTCAGAAGTATCCTATCTGTGCGTGGGAAGTCAACTGGCCACACGCCCCTGCTCATCCCGGGCGACATCGTCCTCAGCTCTTGGCCACGAAGCACGAAAACCACACTGATCGGAGCTCCTAGTTTAGGCACGGACTACCTGTCGGGAGGCTTGGAGAGGCTACCTCAGGGAAACCCGGGCGTCCAAACCAGTCACAGGGGACAAAAGCGAGGCGCGGGAAGTTGCCTGAATGGCCCAAAGTCACTCAGCTGGTAAGTGCAGATGTGAGCCCGGTCTGCGGGACTCCAGAGCCTCGATTATGGTTTACAAAACGTAAAGTATGAGGATCCCTTTTTAACCCCAAAAATGTCTCTGGGCTGCCACATCATAGCCGTCTTATTTTTGGCACTCTTTCACGGCCGGTAGTACATGTGATGGTGACAAAACTCTATTGTGACGGCAGTAATCCTTTTAAAGGACCCTGTTGCCCCAAGCCTGGCTGTGTAGCGGTACTTAAGCCTCTGACTCGAACATCCGTCCAGGCTGCAGACGCCGCCTGGTGGGGCACGCGTCTGGGCACTGGTTGCACCGCGGTCCCCCAGGGCGGCCACCGCACCAGACCACAGAAGTGGCCTGGGCCCTCTCGGCTTCCCCTTCGCCCAAGCTCCCCTTCCCGGGAAGCTGGTCCTGACCGCCCCTCCTTCCCGACACAGCCAGTTCCAACCGGCTGCCACTCCTTGGTCCCAGCGCCCTCGGTCTCCGGTCTCCGGTTTCCCTCCTCTCCCCAGCAACCTTCCCATCATCCTCCAGCCACTTATCTGCCACTTCTGTCCCCGTGCCCCACTGGCTCCAGTTCTGCGTGTCCCTAGCTACAGCTCCTCACAGGTGCGTGTGCTTGCAGGGCTGAGGCCTGCTACGGGGGACGGGGGGTGGGGGGAGCTGCTTGGTAGGAAAAGTGAGGGGGGAGCTTACACAACCAGGGTATAATGAGGCAGCTGAGCTGAGATGGGGAGGTCCTGGGGGAAGCTGGGGAGGTGGGGGCAGACATGAGCCGACATGTGGTGATATGCTCTGACTTAGCACCCTGAAAAGGATGATTTTCTCCCATGACTCACCATCTGTAATTATGCCTTGTCTACTGAGAGGCATAATGATATGAACAAAAGTTTGAAAAATGCAGAGGATTATGTAAAAAAAAAAAAAAACCACCACAGTGATTATTCCACTTTTGATTGACAAATGCAAAACGGCTCAGGCTGTTTGCTCTTTTCATCCTGACGCACGGAGATCTGAATACTTAAAAGGATTAAGATGGCTGGCTCTCCAGCGCCAGGCAAAGTGTCTTTGCTATCACACAGTTGTTTTTCTCTGCTTCACGTACGTGCGAGTTCTAGTTCAATTGCAAGTATCTCCAAACCTGTAAGAGACTGACCATCGTGCAGCTTATCGAACAAAACGATTAGCCAGGGGAGAGCTTTCATAGTTTCTAATTTAGCTCCTTGAAGGCTACATCCTTCAAATGTGTGGACGTTCACTGGTAACATCCCAGAGCCAGCCGATACGAAGACAGCCACCCGTCTGACTGCCGACGAAAATCTCCCCACCCTTCAAAGCACCTGCAGGCGAACGTCACAAGGGTACCTTGATGCCTTTGGTGTCGTCTTCATCAAATGAGCCAATGTCAAAGGCGTCGGCAGCGTTGACTTCTCCCCGGGGAGGAATCAAGGGTGGAGGGTACTGGAAGATCCAAACAGGAAGGTTTCAGTTATCAGATCACCTGACGGCCTGTTCGACCCACGTTATCGTTCTACAGTGAGAACGTGGTGCAGGATACCAACAGGCTGAATTCTGTGGACACTCCAGCCGAGCTCATTCCCGTCACAACACATATGTCACAGAGGAGCTTTGCGTGGAACATCCCTAAGAGAAGACCCCAGGTTTGAGAGAAACTGAAGGGGGGGGGGGCGGGGGGAGATTCACGTCCAAGGTCTTAAAGCATCGCCGAATACAATGATGTCTCAAGACTGCACATGCCGCCAGCTGAACTTTGGGAAAACATGATCTCTCAGACAACGCGGCACCACATTCCGCTCGCTGGGGGCCAGGAGCAGGGCTCCACACCCACAGACGTCTGGAGGCCAATGCCAGCTATGCCAGAGCTCACTCCTTCACTCACATCAGGCGGGCTTAACAGAGCGTCAGCCCTCCATGGTTGGACTGTTTGAGATCATGCAAAAACGAATCCGAAGCTGATAAACATTTAAAAAAAAAACACCTTAATTTGGGGGTGGTTTCCCGAACCAATGGGAATATAAAAATATCTCCAAGTTAAGGGGAGGGAGTTATGCTACATCCAGTCACACTGATCCTTAAAAGTTGGGTGGTGCTGGGCTAGAAAGCAGGTGTAAATTTGCGACCAACTTTTCTTGTCGTCCCTCGATAGGTGCTATGTGAAGACACAGTCACGGATCGAGACAGGAAGTCAAAAAGACGAGCGAAAGCTGAAAGTGTCTCAGTTATTTGGACATTTGAATTCATCAGATAACAACTGCAGTTCAGCATCTGTTAATTTATACTGCAGATATTTTCACAACGTTGAAACTAGGGAAACCAGGGGAGAAGCGGGCCCCGAGGGAGTCGGCTGGATGGCAGCGAGAATGACCCGGCGGCCGTGGGAGGCTGGGGCGGGACCCTGGGGGATGGACCCAGGAAGTGGGGAACATGGGGGTGGCGGTGCCCAGCGTGGGGTCCCAGACAGAGTACCTTCTGTAAGTAGACATGCTGCCAGTCAATGCCTTTGAAAAAGCCGTGTTCCTTTACTTCCTGTGCCCTGTGGAAGAAACACATCAGTGGTGAGCGTGCCTTTGCAAACCTAAGGAATATTTTTGCAAAAAACTGTCTCCTAGTGCGAGAACACGGGGGAATGACTATTTCAGTTCTTTAAGAAGCAAAGAAAATAGGCTTCTTTCAAAGCAACACAGGAAAACACGGGATGTTTAGAAATACTGGATGTGGAGGCCAGGCAGCTTATCCCGTAAGGTAATTGACTGAGGATGTGCATTTCAGTTTAAGAGAACCTAGGAGTTGTCACGGATGTACAAATACATGGGATTCTGTCATCATGAGAACCGATTCAAGTAAGAATTTACATTAGAGATCTTCACACTGAGGAGGTTTACAGCAAATGTCTATGAGGCATCTTAGATCAAACGGCAGGCATATGAGGCACCAGATACTAATTTAGAAGCAAACTAGAAATCTAGGAACATAGCGCACGCCAAACCTCCTCATAAACTGAAGAAACAGGCTTGCCCAGAGATCACCGTTAAAGCTCAGTCTATGCAGAAGAAAAGGGGCCGTATCCCATGAGGAAAGCCTATGTGGGGGAAACATACACACGGCCCCTGTGCCCCACTGGGGGCTCTCACCCCAGCTCTGCCCAGGGTGCCCCTCAGCCCTGTCCCTTGGCAGAGTCCCCAGGGCTGGCTCTCGGTCCCCTTCCTCTGCTCTCACTCCTTGAGTGACCTCACCCTGCTGGGGCCTTCAAGCGCCCCGAACCTGCAGACAGCTCTCCAATCTGTGTCCTCAGCTCTGACCTTGTCCTGCACACCGGGACGCCCACCCACCCGGTGCCTACTTGGCTACTTGGCATGACCACTCGATGGGGCGAAAGGTCGGTAGAACCGACTTCCTCTCACAACTTGTTGTCTCAGGCCAATGAGCCGGATCACCCCCGACGCCCCACCTCCCCCTCACTCCACGGCCCAGCCCTCGCCAAGTCATGGGCAAGGTACTTCTTACTACCCCCGATCCTCAAGACAATCGATTCCCAGTGGGGGTGGTGGGGTCTTTGATCATGGAGGGGATGCTAAATGCCCCACTGCCACCATCCGGCTCCCGCCCCGCTCCCTGAATGGCTCTAACTGTCCCCTGCCCCAGCCGGCACTCAGACCACTCAGCCTGCAACCCCAACTCTACCCTGCAGCCTCCAAATCACCTTTTCATTCAAACAATCTCCCCACGCCCCTGCCCGAGACTCTCCGGAGGCTTTCTTGTTGTACTCACAGCAAAAGTTCGGGGATGCGGTGTGCAGGACCTACCTGAGCCCCCCGCCTCTCTGACTGGCTCTTGACCTCCCTCTCCTGGCTCCCCAGCCTCCTTGCTTTTGTGCATCGGGGAAGCTTGATTCCATGGGACTCTCAGTGGCGGACATAATGAATGATAACGGAGCTCCATGACCAGCCTTATTGTGCACAATAAGGCAATTTGTCCAAAGTTCCGGTGGGGATCCTTCCTCCCCGCCCTCCTCCCAAGGCTGAGGTCTCAGCGACAGCACTGCCTTATTGATCTCACTCATGCTCTTCTCGCAGTCTGGGATCATCCTATTTATTTGATCGTTTCCACAGTGTCCTTCACCCCCACCCAATATAAGCCCCAGGAAGGCTGGGCTGTGTCTACCTTGCACACGGCCTGAGCCCCAGCGCTTAGGACAGTGGCTGGCACTCAGGGGAGCGTTCAGGAAGTGTTCAGTGAATGAATGACATCCAAGTCAAAGGGCGTCCCTTTGCATTTTGCTTTGTTCCTTCCCAATAACCGCTAAAATGATGGAAGAGGAACATGGAGACATACATGCACCACAAAGTGCATCGGGGAAAACCGCCAGCAGACAGGACGGGCGTGGACATAGGAGCCGGGACTGTTGGCAAGAAATGGCAAAGCTATCGCCTGGGAGGCAGAGGTACTGAGCTCCAGGCTCAACACAGTGTGTATGGAGGGGGGTGTGGAGGGGGTGGGGAAGGGGGGATGGTGAGCCACAGGCTGGAGACACAGGCTGAACTCTGTATATGGAACACTTAGCACACGCGTGCATGCACACACAGACACACACACACACACACACACACACACACACACACACTTTCTTTCTCCGTATCTAATCCCAAAACACCTACAGCTAGCTGTTTATTCTATTACAGTGGGGGAAACCTCTGAAAGGTTCTATTTGAAAGAAATTAAGCCTGCTAAAGATTTTAAAGAGCAATCAGAAGAGGGATTGGAAATTTAAGCCATCAGAAAATAGAACAGAATCAAAGCAAAGATACAGGTAATACACAGGGCCAGCAGCATTGATGACCCTTCTAGAAACTCCCACAGCCACCTAGAAGGAAGTTTGCGAGCTAACCAAGGAAATGGAAGAGCGCGAATGTCAAATAAATAAAGTAACAGTATTCCCCAAGCAGAAGAACACCAGCCTGGACGGTCCACGGGAGTCTCGGTGCTGGACGTGATGAGCGATAATGGAGTTCCATGACCAGCTTTATTGTACACAATAAAGCAGTATCTCCAAAGATCTGGGGGGAAATTAGTATCGATCTAGAATTCTACAGCCGGCCAAAACAGCAGTCAAGTTGGAGGACAGCAGGAAGGCATTTTGGATGTGTAGGAACACGGAGAGTTTACCTCTCGTACCCCCTCTCTGAAGGAGTTCCTTGAGAACACTCTCTAGCTAATCGGGGGGAGGGTTGGGATGGGGGCCCCCCAGAAGGCATGGGATCAAGTAAATAGCAGATTCAAACCAGGAGGGCAACAAGAGAGAAGGTCAGAACAGAGGGTGCTGAGTAGCAGAAACTGAGCAGCCGGCTGTCACCGAAGCTCGTGGGTTTGAGCCCTTCCCGAAAAAAATTCAGTCGGAAACGAAAGCCCACACATACACATGGAGATCTCCTATAGAGCGCAAACGAAAGTGAGGGCCACTCCAGGCTAGGCTTGGGCAAACTGGATCAGCCTGACCGGGTGGAAATAAAAACGAACGGAGACAGAAAGCAGTCAGTGGGACAGAAGAGGACAGTGCAAGACCCTCATTTTCTAAAGTAGGGACTCAAGACCCTGTTTGTAGTTGGTGGAACAGGCACAAGTGGGTAAGCATAGCATTTAAAACCCCACGGGTTGGGGCGCCTGGGTGGCGCGGTCGGTTAAACGTCCGACTTCGGCTCAGGTCACAATCTCGCGGTCCGTGAGTTGGAGCCCCGTGCCGGGCTCTGTGCTGACAGCTCAGAGCCTGGAGCCCGTTTCCGATTCTGTGTCTCCCTCTCTCTCTGCCCCTCCCCTGTTCATGCTCTGTCTCTCTCTGTCTCAAGAATAAATAAACGTTAAAAAAAAAAATTAAAAAAAAAAAACCGCACGGGTTAAACAAACATAGAGTTTCAATTCTTCTGAGGGGTGGTGGACAGGGAAGGCTATAGAGATAGTACTGACAGAGCTAAATCTTCATCTGTATCAGCAGGCATGGATAATCTCTCAAATTAATAAAGACGGAAGTGTGCAGGGGCACCTGGGTGGCTCAGCTGGTCAAGCTGATCTGACTCTAGATCTCGGCTCAGGTCACGATCTTCCGGTTATCGGGCTCTGCGCTGATAACGTGGAGCCTGCTCGGGATGCTCTCTCTCTCCCTCTCTCTGTCCCTTCCCCACTCATGTGCGCACTCTCTCAGAATAAATAAACTTGAAAAAAAAAAAAGTACGCACATGAGCACGTTACGCAGCTACCTACACGATATACGTGTAATATACAGTATAAAATGTATACGCACATATAAGCTACTCTAAAATACACGTATGCATACGTATGGGACATACACTCATACCACGCATGGTTAAAAGTTGTTTCTTTTTTGTTCCAAACTTTTTTTAAGTTGAAGTACAGCCAGCCGACACACGGTGTTACATTAGTTTAGGTGCACACGGAATGATACAAGTCTACTCGCTCTGCTGCAGCTACCACCTGTCACCAGACTGTCACTATTACCGTCCCATCGACTGTATTCTGTGCTGTGCCTTCCACCCCCGTGACTTACTCATGTACCTCTCACTACCCTTGTTGCTCATTCTAGAAGCTGCTTCCTATGAAATGGGAAGAAGAGCCAGCCCGGGGGTGGGGAGAGACTGGATGGTTGGAAGTCGGCATTTCCTTCTCTGTCAGCTTTCCAGGTATTACTGTCCTTTTCACCCAGTGGAGGGACAGCAGCTGGAAAGCGAGTTCAAGACAGCAGCCGGCCAGCTCCGCATGAGTGAAAATGGGCGGCGGCCAGATCGGGGTCCTGAGCTGCCGTTGTTACAAACCTAATTAGGAAAACGTCACCAGATGAACCGCGAGACATCAGGATTCATTTCCACCACCCACGTGATCGACTTTTAAAGTTCAAAAGTTAGTGACTCCTTCAATTCATTAATTATAAAACACTAAAGACAGCTTTTGCGTTTGTCCCCCCCCCCCCCCCCCCCGCTTAGACTGAAATGGGACACTTTTAGGGGCTAGGAATGATCTGTGACATACTGAAAATCGCCGTTAGGTATTCTGTGTGATGATACTGACACTGAAGAGTGAAAAAAAGGGCCTACCCGCCTCCACGGCAGCCAAGCCGCTTACTAGCGTCTCTCTGGAGCAGGCCTTCTAGGAGGGCCCGAAGTTCAGGGGAGAAGGCCTCCGGGAGCTCGACGTTCTGGGGGAGAGAAAAGAACACGATTTGGAAGACGCTCTCCTGGAACCAGGGCCCCGACACCCAACCAGACCAAAAGGCCATTTCTTGGATGAAGAGTGTTAAAAGCTGAAGAGTCACCACGAATTAATATTTACTCCAAAGAAATGGGAAACTTACTAATCACTTTCTTTCCCCCCCACCAAGTAATCTCTATGCCCAACATGGGGCTTGAACTCACGACTCCAAGATCACGAGTCGCAGGCTCCACCGACTGGGCCAGCCAGGCGCCCCCCAATTACTAATCATTTTCAATGACAATCAACAGGCCGGGGGACCAGGTCAGGAGACAAGAAGGTCTCCTCGCTCTTCTACACTCAGCAATTTTTCCTTTTCTTTGATCTCTTCACTTTACTTCTTGATTTCCTGTATCTTTCTCTTACTGATGGGGGGCAAACCTTGATTTCTGCCTTGGCATCTATTTCCACTAAATCTCCAGTCAGGAATTCCTCTATGAATTGTGTCTCGGCTCATTTGTTTTAAGAAGGCAAGTTTCTACACCGGTTCCAACGAACTGAAACGTGAACACTGTCATGTGACTAAGGATGGAGTCTTTAGGGGCACTTGGGTGGCTCAATCAGTTAGGCATCTGACTCTGGATTTCATGATCTCATGGTTTTTGACTTTGAGCCCTTCATCATGCTCCACAATGCCAGCGTGGAGCCTTCTTGGGATTCTCTCTCCCCCTGCCCGCCCCTCCCCTGCTCACACGCGTACTCTCTCTTAAAATAAACAGATACTAAAAAAAAAATGGAGTTTTCAGTCTCCTTACCACGGTGAGAGTCATCCGGTCTATCTCGTGTTTATCTTTGGTTTTGTGTTGTCTAAAAGGGCTGTGCCTGTGGAAATGAACAACACTCTGTGATGATGTGGTACCGGGATTCTCAGCACACACGCGTCCCCGGCTCACGCCTGCAGAGAGGACTGTGTTCTGTCACCGTTCATCCGAAACTACAGAAACACCAAAGCCATACACATTTACCGTTTCCAGAGAAACACTGGTGTTGGGGTGCATTAGGTTCTGAAAGGGGGGGCTGATCAGCAAACATATTCCCCGAGATATTTTAAAATATCGTTAGAGGGGCGCCTGGGTGGCTCAGTCGGTTAGATGTCTGACTTTGGCTCAGGTCATGATCTCACGGTTCGTGAGTTCGAGCCCCGCGTCGGGCTGTGTGCTGACAGCTCGGAGCCTGGAGCCTGCTTCGGATCCTGTGTCTCCTTGTCTCTCTGCCCCTCCCCTGCTCACACTCTGTCTCTTTCTCTCAAAAATGAATAAAATTTAGGGGCGCCTGGGTGGCGCAGTCGGTTAAGCGTCCGACTTCAGCCAGGTCACGATCTCGCGGTCCGTGAGTTCGAGCCCCGCGTCGGGCTCTGGGCTGATGGCTCAGAGCCTGGAGCCTGTTTCCGATTCTGTGTCTCCCTCTCTCTCTGCTCCTCCCCCATTCATGCTATGTCTCTCTCTGTCCCAAAAATAAATAAACGTTGAAAAAAAAAATTTAAAAAAAAAAATCTTAAAAAAAAAAAATGAATAAAATTTAAAAAAAATTAAAAAAAAAAACAAAAAACAAAAAAACCCCACAGAGAACTAACTGTAGTGGAAACAACACACACCAAGGGGAACAGCCCCGTAACTTTAAGCAGTACCTTCCTTTGATGATAACAGACAGAAACTAACCCAGTGCCCCCAGGCCATCCATGGCTCTGAGAGCTGCTCACTCATGTTTTCCTTTGGTTGAGCCCCAAATCTAGGAGTCGGCAGACCTGGATTCAAGGTCGTGACTGGGGTGTTTACTGGCTGTGAGCCAGTCATGGAAACCATCAGCAGCGATTTCTTCATCTGCAAATGGGCCTAAGGTCGCATCTCGGAAACGGCGAAGGGGACAACAAAACAATGGAGATGCCGGTAGTAGGCGGCAGTATGCAGGAGGGGGCTGATCCAGCAGTCGTTCGTGAACTTCATGAAGATGAATCTTACTTTATCCAACAAATGCCTGCTGGATAAACTGTGTAAAAACAAATCATTCTTCCTCTTTACCCTGTTGTGAAAACCCCAGAGAAGCTGGCTTATAAAGGAAATCTTATCAAAAGAGACCAGTAAACATGCAAATTACAAAATCCTGGCCTTCTTTATTTATTTGAAAATTAAAAAAGATACACACACACACACACACACAAATGAGTTTTCTTATATAGCAACACAGGCCCATAAAATTACGAATCCTACAGATTTATTTCTAAGGCATATATAACATAATCAGAGGCAAGATACTCTATAAAATATTTGGAAGTATCTTCAGTGGGCTAGAATACTGAGCACATAAATGAATGTGATTTAGGAAAGGAACTAATCCTTGTATTTGTCCACTCACTACTTATTACTACCGCTCTGACCATCCTGCTGAATTAGAGAAGTCTGCACTGAATCATCTCTTGGAAAAGATTATTACATTTCAGAGCCTTTATTATTTTAAGGATTTTAATGTTCATTTTGTACAAGAGAGGGCACTCTAATGCTTTGTTTTCCTCCTTATCATGCAACAGAATAGAAAGTAATTTCCATCTCTTGAAAGTAATAAAATATAAAACAAGGTGAGTTAGGGTTAAGCAAACATACGCTAATCTTTAAACTAGATTTTGGCTGGAAATGTCCTTTTCAACCTCTTCGTGTCCAAAAATAAAAATGCAAAATTACTGCATTGAAAAAGCAAATAATGGGGGCACCTGGGTGGCTCAGCCGGTTAAGTGTCTGACTTTGGCTCAGGTCATGATCTCACAGTTTGTGGGTTCCAGCCCCGTGTCAGGCTCTGCTGACAGCTTGGAGCCTGGAGCCTGCTTCGGATTCTGTGTCTCCCTCTCTCTGTGCCCCTCCCCTGTTCATGCTCATGCTTGCTCTCTCTCTCTCTCTCTCTCTCTCTCTCTCAAAAGTAAACATTAAAAAAAAGCAAATAGGATATAACAACAAATGGCATTTGTCAAATGGTATCTGTTATTTATAAGATAGTAACATCTAAAAAACCCATTACTTGTATCACTCTCCTCTGCAAAAGACACAGAGATATTAACACGTCCATGATTCAAGAGAAAAAGAATAAACGCTTATTAAATCTTACTAAAACGTTAGCCTCTCTGCTGGACATGGCTGTTCCCACCCCACAAAGCCCCTGAACCCATGAAAAGGGACTGTGTGCGGATCTCCTGGCACTGTGGCAGCTCCTGCCGGTCTGGCTCCTGTGTGCGGTGCCGGGGGACCCCACTCCCACTCCCGACCCCCATGCACTTGCCTGCGTCTGCCGCCGGAAGGAAAGGGCTGTGCCCTGACCCTTTCAGAGAAGGCCTGCTGTGTTCTGACAGAAATGCTCTGTGCTAAATTTAAAACGTCTTTCATGAGACCAGAGGGAGGCTGGCAGGAGGGAGCGGAGTTAAGTCAGTGGGGCCAAACCCATTTCCAGCGCATGAACCCTGTCCCGGTCCCGTGCTAGAAACATAGCTAGTCCGTGCCCGACTGCACACAAAATGGTCGGAAATGCTTTTCAGCGATTCGGTTCTGGGCTTGCGGCGCTGAGAAAGTTTGGTCTTTCAAGTTCAAAACCGCGCTGCACATCTGTTTCCAATGTAGTCTTGATTATTCTTTGTGCACAAAGCCAAAGACGCTGTGTCTATTTTGGAAAACGTTAAAGAGACCCTACGACAGTAACGATCTCCGCTCTGAGGGAGGCACGTGGTACCCACAGATCCTGTGTGCCTTGCAGCTGCTCCGCTCCCTGATGCAGCCGCTTTAAATAGGAGAGGGTATCCGGCCCGCCGGCAGCTAGCAGGGCTGCCGCTTCTCCCTGCAGGGCGTGCAACACGCTGGCTGCAGCCGGGAAGTGCCGCGGGAATGAAATTCACATGTGTGGTGGTCAGATGTGGCTTGTGAATTACAGACCGAGTGGGAGCGCTGCAAATTTCCCCCAAAAGAGTTGGGAAATCGCTCAAGATGTCGGAAATGCTGGGAAAACACACACACACACACACACACACACACACACACACCACTCAGTGAAACAATGAGCTCAAAAGCAGTACATTTCTAAGTACGAGTGATTCAAAACTCTTAAGCCAAAAATTAATTTTAGAATACGAAAAAGATCATTCGTTACGTCAAATAGGAGTTTTGAACCTAAGCCAGTAGCTGCCAAAATATTTATAAACATTCCCTGTTTCTTCCGTACAGGAACAATCTCAGTAACCTCAGGCAGAGCTCAGCTGTCCCCAGAGCACCGTCCAGGCTCTCTCCCTGCATCTGACAGCTTCGGGGACAGACCATCAGTGGTGACAAGTTTAGGATCCAAGCCACTGTCACATCAATTCTTTTCCTTAACAGACATCTGAAATCTAGTTGGAGGATCATGACAGCAACCCCACACATTTGCAACAGGGACACATGTTCAATACCAGACAAAGTCATCTGAGGGGGAAACAGTGACACCTCCCGGACACATGGCTTCTGAACGGCTCGGTCCATCACTGCGAGTCCAAGGTTGCAGAACGCGAGCTCAAGCTGGGACAGCTTGCTCCTTTCCCTCAGGCCCTGCGGTGTTCTTCTAGGGTGTCGAGGCAAAGTGGGGGGTGCAGACCAGTGTTTCAGCAGAGGCAGTGGGGACACACAGGTCCACGTAAGGAAGCATTCCACCACAGAATGTTGGTGACCACCTGTTCAACCTCACTGCACGGGCATGGGAAGGAAGAGACAGGCTAAGAGCAGACTTGCTCATCCTCAGCGCCATTGACCTTTTGGGCTGGGCAACCCTTTGCTGGGGCAGCGAGGCCCGTCCTGACTATTGTGAGATGTTCAGCAGCATCCCTGGCCCCCACCTGCCAGATGTCAGAAGTAGCCCTTTCCAAAGCTGTGACAACCAAAAACGTCTCCGGGCATTGCCAAGCGCCCCTGGGGTGGTGGCCGAGCTGTGGGCAGCGGCTGGCAAGCCATCGGGTCCATTCTGCAAGGACCTGAACCGTGGCTGTCCTGTGAGCACACCAGGAAGCAGGGGGGCAGGGCCTGTGGGCCGGTGCTCTCCTGCTCGTCCCCCTGCCCTGCTGCCTTGCTTCCTCAGCCCCTTGTGTCGGAAAAAAAACCCAGCTAGCTGCTCAGGGCTCCCTTCTAGGCGGCCAGTGAAAACTGAATAGGTCACTTCCAGACATACTTTCTGTGTCTTCCCCACACACGACCTTGCGAAGTGGAACAGGTGACACTGTCCCCTCATCTGCAGCTGAAGGGGATGAAGCCTCCTGGGCACAGCCCCTTCCCCTGCTGACCCCAGTACGGTGTTTTGCTCCTGAAGGTCCCTCAATAAACATCAGTTTAATAGGAACCACTGACATTTTACAACCACGGATTCTGGTAATGACGTCACTCTCGCCCCAGCTACCTCGAACCTGACCCCTTAGCTTCCGTATCTGAGCACCCATCCGGAAAAACAGCAACTGCCACCCCCACCCCTCAGCCTAGCAAGATAGGTCCACCACTTGCCCCCTTCCTGGTCCCGGGGCTGCAGGGCTAGCTTGAGTGCTCCTGGCTTTTCGCCTGGGTCCCTGCACCTGTCCCAGTCCCCCTCTGTCCAGTCATCTTCTTCTGACAGACACCCCAGCGATGTCCCTCCTTTGCATAAAAGCCTCCAGGCTCCGGGGCCTTGAGAGCAAAGCCCCAACTCCCCGGCACAGTGTTCTAGGCTCTCCGATGTCCACCCAATCTCCTCAACCTTCTCCCCGAGCACACTCTCCATCCTCTTGTCAGTGACCCGCCCCGCCCAGGTCACAGCTGGGGAAAGGCAAACTGCCCAGCGTTGTCTGCTCCCCGAAGAAAACGTGTCTACTCTGCCCCAGTCTCGGAATCGCCATCCTCTTTCAAGCTCGCTTCACAGAGCATCTCCTGCGTGGAGTTGGCCCCGCTCTCCCAAGTTAGCCCTGGGACCCATTTTCGTGCCCCCGGACACCGCGGCTGGCCTTG